CTCTCTCTCTCTCTCTCTCTCTCTCTCTCTCTCTCTCTCTCTCTCTCTCTCTCTCTCTCTCTCTCTCTCCCTTCCTTTATCTCTTCTCATCTCTCCCTCCCTCTCTCCTTTTCCCTCTCCTCCCTTTCCCTCCTTCCTCCTCTAGACCCCTCTTTCGCACCCCCTTTTATTACCTTGCCTTCTCTCTCTCTCTCGTTCCCTCACTAGGTATATGACTAACCCTTCTCCCCTCACTTGGAAACATTGTCAGGGTACGAACGGTGACCGAAATCAGACCTCACTTGGTGGAGAAAGAGGACAAGGGGAGGATAGTCGGTCCCTTGTGCCACCAAGAAGGCAAAAGAAAGGACGTTTGAAAAAGTGGGAGAAAGGTGGGATCTGGAAGGAAGCATAAGTTGAGAGACGGGTCAGTTTGACTCAACCATTTCCCCGACTGCATGACTATGTGTTGACCCCCAACGGGGGACATTGTATGGATCTTCTTGCTTGTGTGGGATTGTGTATGTGAATAATGGCTAGAAATGCCTTGAGCGGGATAGGGGCGAGAGGAACTGGGCATCAAGAGGAGAAGGAAAAGGGGACGAAGGGGCTGTGGGACCCTTGACATAGAGCCAACCCATGATAATGACTTTTGCGCTTGAGACCTGGAAGTGTGATTGAGAGTGCAATCGTGCCAAGGAAAATGTGATGTTGTGTGTGCATGCGTATGAGGACCCCGAAAAGACTAAGGGGCCTACTTCAATAAGGTGGGAATCAAATTGTGAGATCCGAGGAATGCGTAGAGGCGAGGGGGAGGACGGCTCCGCCACACCCCGTTGACGCCATATAGCCACATTGCCTAAGGAAATGGTGTGTGGCCTAAGGATGACGCTTAGCCTACGCACAAGAGAAGAGAAACGCTCAAAGAATACTTGGACTGCTTGCGTATTGGAAGGAGCAATTGCATGAGAACACAACAAAGAAGCAAAAAAAAATCAGCGTTGCGGAACAACCAACGAGACTACCACGTGGCGTGAGGGTTGAGCTACATCCCCAATGTCAAAGCTCTTCGCGCGATGGCACACACCCATCCATCTTAAAGCACTAGGTGGGGGTGACCTCGGGACGAACAGCCCGCGCCCCGAGCATGAGCGTGGGCGGGCCGAGCCAACTGGGACCCGCAGTGGGGTCGACTAAGGCTTGAAAGTCTACCGGGGTTTGGCCCTACATAGGACTTGTGCGCGAGCATGCGTGGACGCCGTTGCGCGCGGCCTCCTACGTGTTCCTACCAGTGCGCGCTGGTGCGTATTGGTGAGCGGGTATCTGCGTGCATCTCGATCCCCTGTTGGCGCGCGCAGGCTCCTCACGTGTCCCGTTATGCCGCGCTCGAGAGCGCGTTGGCTCCTCTTGTGTTCCGTCTCGCAGCACGCTTGTGCATGTTGGCTCCTCATTCGATTGGAGTGCGATCCTACGTAAGTACGTGTCCGCGAGTGCGGCTATAATCTGCGCCCTCAATCCGCTCCTCTCCTGTTTGTCTCTCCTCTCTGTCGCTCCCCCGGTGACTGCGCTGATTTGCCCTCGTGCGCGCAGCTACATGTGCCCCGATCCCTTTTCTCCGGGCTTGTGCGTGTGTGCGCACGACTGCACTCGCCCCGTTTCCGATAGCGTGCGCGTGTGCACGAATGCACACGGCCACATGTGTCCCAATCCCGACTAATGCGGTGTGCGCGGCGGTCGTGCGTTGTTGCGCGCCCGTGCGCGCGGCTGACCAGCCTGAGCGATGTGGCGATAGGTTGTCGCGCGCCCGTGCGCCTCTCGTCCCCTGTCTCCCGAGCCCCTCATGTGCGCCTCCGCGTGTGCAAGTGGGAATCCAGAGCATCTGTAGTGCGGCCGTAATTACGCATCTCGGACGTGTCCCGCTCTTCAGCCCGGTTGGGCTTAAATACTTTGCAGCCCTCTTCTCGGTGTGCCCCAGCGCCTTCCTGTGCTTCGGGCTGTCGACAAGGTTGCAGCGCCCCAGTACCATGGCTCCCCCGGGCCTGGATCCGGGCCTGTTTGGATCCTCGAAGAGTCTCCTGCGAAGGGGGCCTTTTTGTCGGATACCGGGCCTTTTGCAGCCCTCTAGTACTGGACCTCCTTCTGAACCTAGGTCCGGGACCGTCCTCTCATCGTCCCCACACGAAAAGCACCGGCCTTATAAAACTTTGCAGGCCCCGAACCCCAGAGTTAATAATCCCATGGCTCGAGGGCCCTCTTCCCAGCCTTAGGCCCGCTGCCCTCTTTAGGCCTCACATACTGCCCAAATATGATGGCTCTGAGCGCGCCCATATTGTGCTATTCACCGATTTCGATCCCATGCTGAATTTGAGTGTTTACTGTTGTTTAGTCCATCCGACGGCTCGTCCCAAGATCCGGCGCCCTACATTGTTTCGTCCACTGTCCTGCTCTTAGCGCGAGTCCGGCCCTATTGTAGTAGTCATTCCTTTGTGTCTTGTCATCAATATGCCTCAATGGAGCGCATAAAGGGACGCTCACTCATAATCATGGCCCCCTTCTTCTTGATGTCTCGGCCTCGGTACTTGTCGCGTGAATCTGATACTGTATCTTTTTGATGTCGTCTGCAATCCCGCTAGGTAAAGCGATTGAATCCAGCTCTCCTCAAGAGTTATCTTCAAGGAAGTGAAGGGCGGCGTAAGGTTGGAACCGCCCGACACCGTCTCTTTCAGCGTAACCACATTGTCGAGTATGAAATGGCCTGGTATGAAACCACCTTGGTCTAAGTGGAAGCAGCTTCTGGTTATGATGACAGGGCGGTTTGCCAGAACCTTAGCCAAGACCTTGTAGGTAACAGGTCGGGTCACCTTTCTTATAGAGCAGGGTGACGATCCCGGTGCTCATTGTTTCTCCCAGGCCCTCTTGTGCCTGTGCTGTTGCCAGGTAGTTGTTGAATTCATCTTGAAATGTGGGCCAGTAATGATGCCAGAATTCCTTGGACAAGCCGTCCCACCCGGGGGTTTTATTTGGCTGCATTGTTTTCAGAGCATGCACGATTTCTTCCGGGGTGATGGGGGCGTCCAAAAGTTGCGTGTGTTCGGGCATGAGGGTGCATCCAGGTGGGCCAGGAATTTTCGGCATGCTGTCTGAACTTGACCTGGGGGCTGTCTGGGCTCCTCTGTCGTGTACAGCTGTGAATAAAAGGTGGCTGCAATTTGGAGCATTTCTTCCTGGTTTGAGGTAAGGTGATCTTTTTTTTTTTTTTTTTTTTTCAATTTGGACCATTTCTCGATTTATGCGTGTCATCCTTGCGCAGGGGCCATGCTAATCTTCTCTGTATCGTTCCAATTTTAACGGATGTCCCGAAGGACGAGGTAAGGTGATTTTGTCCCTGCAAATAATATATTTTTGGTTCCGGGCGCTCGCTTTGATACGCTGGAAAAACTACTTGGTCATTTTCTCATCGCCCTCCATGGCTTTTATCCTTGCCCGAAGTCTGATGCCTCCGATTCGCCATTTCTACCAGGCGGCCAATTCATTTCTTATTTTTGAGAGGATGTCTTTGTAGTACAAGTTGCCCGGGTTTTGGAGGGTGTTTTGTTCTGCGAGGTCCAGCGCCGTTTGCAGCTCCCGTTCTCTAGTCGTTCTCTTCGCTGCCAAGCCTTGGGATGTTCAAGAGCCGCTTCAGAGATGCGTTGAACGAGGTGAGGGAAGGGTAGCTGTTCTCGTTTCTGCTGTGTGCAGACTTGCAGTAGCACATGTTAAAGTTCGTTCGTTCCCAAGATGGAGTCGTTGATCTTGAAGCAGCTGCGTCCCCTGACAGCAGAGGGGTTCAGGGCCAGATCCAGGAAAATCCACTTGCGATCCAGGCCCGACATGCATGGTAGTTTGCCAATGTGCGGTGAGTGCACTGCTCCAAAGGTTTTGGGAGACAAGGTGGAAGTCGATCCAGGAAGAGGAGACCGCCTGACTACGGTTCTTTTTTCGGTAGGTAAATTGCTTCACAGCGGGTACCGGATGTGGAAAGCGTCAATCAGTGCCGCCTCTGTCATAAAGTTGTGTATGAGCACAGCCTTGTCCCACAATGTGCCTGGTTGGCTCATCGCCCGGCAGACAGGCCGTCCAAGGTCGGGTCCTGTACGGCATTTCAGTCGCCTGCAAGGACTAACTGGGCCGGAGTGTTGCATTGGGATTGCAGGCTCTGCAAGAAGGTCAGTCTTTGCTGGTTGGTGTTGGGACAGTAGACTGTGATGAGGCGAAAGTGCTTGTCCTTATATACGAAGTCATTCTAGCCCAGCGTCCCTCTGTATCGTCCTGTCGTTTCTGCTGAATCACCATGCTTTTGACTGTTTGTGATTTGTTGTGGCAGATTACAGCCATGCCAGCTGTCCCTGGGTGGGGCGCGGGGGCCCGGCATGAGTCAGCGACCCATCTTAAATGGCTAACTATTTCTACCTGCATGTGTCGGTGTTCTTGTGATGATGTGAGTTGAGTTTCTTGTAGGCAGAGGATGTACGATGCCTGAGGTCCCTGCCAGTCGAGTTGTTTGAGGATGTTATTCCACTTGTCATGGTTTGTGACAGTGTTGCCATGCCATTAACGTTCCATGAGGCTATTCTCAGGTCTTTACATGGCGCCGCTGCTCTAGTGGACTGGGTTGGCATCTTTAGCCTCCTTCATGCTGATCGCTTGTTCCTTTCTGAACAGGGGACGCCTCAGGTTGCCAGTGAGCAAGCCTCCTTCCTGTCCACCAGCATTTGCACTCTTCGCTGGAGCCAGTTCTTGTCTGTGAGGAATAGCCTGCATGAGGAAACCAATGCTGCAGCAAAGGCTGCTCTTTCTGGTGAAACCCATAGCCCGAGCAAACCATACGGCATGGCTTCGACTACTTGCCATGAAAGCCAGGCGAGCCCAGACAGGAGTTGCTGCCCACAAGAAAAAAGAACAACGCTCAAATAACCTTGGCTGTAGTGCTGCAAAGGAAGCACGACAGCTGTCGTGCAGAAAAGGACAAAAGAAACGAAAAAGAAAAACAGAAGCCGTTGGGCCTCCCTCCACTATTCTCCACATGAATAAAAGACAAAAAACATGGCTCTGTATCTTTCCATTTTCTGGCGCAAGATTCAGTCTCATTTTGCACATTTGGAGAGTAGTGGATGCACCAGTGAGGCTGTATGGCAAAAGCCTCGCTCCACTAATGAGAATGGATCTTCAACTAGAACATGGGAAGATGCAATAGAACAGTTCACGGGTGTACCAAGCGAGCTAGGACTGTTGGTGGAATCTCGCTTTTCTTTTCCTTCTTTTTTTTTCTTTTAAAGGCTGCATATCGATCCTAATCTCAGCTGGTCATGGGCCTTGCAGCAACAATCACCAAATACACGAGAGAGAAACGTTTTGGCAACGTCTCTGTCCATGTTCTAGAGGAAGATTCATCCTCACCTTGTGCAAAGAGGGAGGGGGATGCCTCGTGGCACCCTCACATGGCCTCGCTCCACTACTCTCGACATGCACAAAAGACAAAAATCCTGGTGGTGTATCTTTCCATATTCTAGCGGAATATTCACTCTCATTTTGCACATTTTGACAGTGGTGGAGCTAGGCCCATAGGATAGCGTAACATTTTAGACGCCATGATCACCATGATGATGCGTATCAGAGTTGTCCGGAAAAAAAAAATAGAGTGAACCCGTGGCCCCGATTTCATCGGGTTGCGATGAAATATGTGTCCACCCTGCACGGCGGGAAGTGCTCATGGCCAAGCCCAGACAAGGGCACGACTTACTTGCAAATATTGTTTTTCAAGTTTTTGTTTTTTTTTTCACGCCCTGTGTCTAGCGCTCAAACCAGGATAGAAACAGGAGCTGGCTTGATGGCGAGTTTGGCGGGGGAGGCACATGAGTGAAAACAATGAAAAGAAAACAAACAAGATACAGAACGGGAAAAGAAAACTACCGAAATCAGTCCAGTACGGCCACCTTTTCGTTCCATCAGTTGGCAGCAGGTCCAACACTTCGTTTTCGAAGTGGCCGGTACCAGTACCACCCTCAATTTTCCAAGGAATGGTACCGGTCACTTTCAGGCTCGGCAAAATGCACTTTTTGATTCGTCAAAACAGGTCTGGGTGAACTGGTAGATTAAACCACCAGTACGCCGCCGTTACCGCGCCGCGTCGGGCGGGCTACCGACCGACGAACAACCGGTATTCCCAAAAAAACGGGCCAAAAAAAAAAGAAAAAAAAAAGGCGTCGGCGAGAATGATAAGTGTCGAACGAAAAAAAAAAAGCGGGCGCGGCAGGGGGCGGGAGGGGGGGAAGAACGAGAGAGAGAGAGAGAGAGGGAGGGCGTCAGAGAGTGTCTGATGCTGAGTTTCGCACACCGAGCTCCGTGTCAGACACTCTCTGACGCCCTCCCTCCCTCCCTCTCTCTCTCTCTCTCTCTCTCTCTCTCTCTCTCTCTCTCTCTCTCTCTCTCTCAACGTCCATATGAGAGTGAATCTTCTGCGTTATCGCGGAAGATTCACTCTCATATGGACGTTGAGACAGAGAGAGAGAGAATGAGAGGGCGGGACCTATGAAAAGAACGGGCCAAAAAATAACGCGCAATTTGTTTCGGGCGCATCTGCCCATGTTCTAGAGGGAAGTTCATTCTCATTTCGCACACTTGAGAGTTGTGGGGGGGGATGCGCGTGTCCGATGCACTCGGTGTCAGACTCCCTCGGCAAAATGCACTTTTTGATTTGTCAAAACAGGTCTGGGTGAACTGGTGGTTTAAACCACCAGTACCTCGCCCAGCTTGAAAAAGCCGACGCGGCCGTTAAC